ATTAGTTAGCTGAAATGCCATTAGCCAGAGCGAACCAGTAGGACAATCTAGAACACTAATCTGGTTATGACACTGAAAAGTCAGCCTCGGTTCAAGCACAAACATGTTGACTTTCACAAAACTTTTTGATTTTAATAAAAAAAAATATTTATTTTTATTTTTTTATTTGCTGCAGGCTTCCCGGGCCGCACAGAACGCCGTAAGGGCCGCCAGTTTGGCACACCGCCTGGCGCTAAAGTATTGCAGGGCCATAGCCTTGTGGCGGGCAAGGCGGGGAGGCGGCCTGCACCCCTAGATTTTTGGAGCAACAATTAAAAATATTAGCTTAGCTAATTATCGTAAATAACCCAACGTTTTGGATGGGTATCTCAAGGATCTGTCCATCGAAACCACCGACGTAGTTTCTCACAATTTCTGCCGACTCAAAAGGGACGACAGCTGACACCTGAACCTGTTCTTTGCGTCAGTGGGACCGCCTACAGGAAGAGAGACCTATAATACTGCGCAAGCTAACCTTGTCAGCCTGGAGCCGACTTTGGTCAAGCCCAAAAAGTCGGTGCTTAACCCCCCACTGTATTTTTAGTTTATTCCGGCCATACCTACTAATTATTGTAAAGTCAGTATCTCACCGACCTTGACACTGGCTTTAAGGCGTTGGATTAGATGGAATAATGCGGTTTTCTTAAACTCGGCTTCACATGATCTATCAGCTCCCTCATTGGCAAAGTGGTTAAATATGTGCTATTTCAAAAAATAGGTTTCCCGTCGAGTGGAAAGTCGCTAAAAGTATATTGCCTTATTCAAAACTGGTCGACTTCGGACATGACAATTCTTAGGCCTATATCTGTCTTAACCTAATCCTGAGCAAGCCTCCTGAAAGACATGTGCATGATTGTCTTATACTCATTTTTTACAACAGCACAATCTCTTATCCACAAGTATCAATCTGGCTTTAGGAAAGGCTTCTCCTGTGAGTCTGCTCTCAATCAAACCTCACTGACATTTTTTAAAATGCATCGACTCAGCTGAACATATTTTATCTGAGTTCTCCTACTTGATTTCGTAAAGCCTTTGATCTCGTTGATCACTTCACTCTTAGTAGTTCTTACTTAAAAAGCTGAAACAAATTTATAGATGTGATAGATGCCCAGCAATGATAATTTTTCGAGTTTTTTATCTAACAGATACTCCAAGTATTTATTAATGGGTCATTATTCAGCCTGAAGTGCCCATATCCGTTGCTGTCCCGCAAGGTTCATTTTGGGCCCCTCTTTTTTATTTATGTTTTTATAAATGACATGCCCCTGCACATTAACATGCCAGTATTCCACTATGTATGCCTGACAACTTCCACCTTTTGTTGTTACTGACAAAATTTTACCTACCTGGCCAACAGCGTCTAATACAATATGGAGGAGTTCAGTGAGTGGTGGTTCTAAAAACAGAAATGGTCATCAATCCATTCCGTCGAGACCAAAACCGATGCTGGTCAACTTCCAGACAGAGCGTCTACGGGTCCTCCCATCGCGGTACTCCATACTGTCTATGAATGGGCTCTGCTTCTTCTACCCACGTCGAGTGAGAAAATTTTAGTATCCATGTTGATGATAATCGCTTTACGTTTGAAGAACACATTAATGAAAGTGCGGTGTGTTGCCAAGATCTCAAAAAGCTTGCACTGTTTTGGCGGATCAGGAAATTTCTTCGATCATTGCATTCCTGCCCTGAGTTTTTACTTTGGCTTTGTTTTAACCTGATATTGATTATGGTATTGTTGTGTGGGGAAATGCCGCGAAGAGTTATATGACAAAGTTTTTAACCTGCAGGAACGTTTTGCGCGGTTACATTCTTAACATTCGTTGACCTTCAGACGCCCGCACTAAATGAAAATCTTTCTCGCCAGCTTAGGTTTATATGACTGTTCGCCAGACGTGTTTTTTATTACATGCGATGTCTTTCTACTTTACAAATATTTACGTTAAGCTCACCTGCCTATCTTGGACGGTTTTTTTTACTTTTAAACATGAATGGGAGCTCTAGACGGACGCGTAGTGTGATTGTGCAGATGAAGCGCGTTTTCTTGTATCCGCCTCGTGATCGCACTGAAATGCCTGTACGAAATCTTTTCGGTGCCAACGCAGCCATTCTGATGGAATTAATTTACCTCCTTGACGTTCGAGATGCCCCCACCATTTCTTCTTTTTAAAGTCCCATCTAAAGAAATTCTTGCCCTATCAAATAGGGCCACTTGTGCTCTACTTACCCGTACAATTTATTCAAATATTTCAACATATTGTGTTATTTATTTAATATTTAACCGTTCTTTTGCTGTGAGACGGCCAATGTGGATAGAATAGCTTTCCGCCGACCCAATTTATCTGTGTCTGCTACCTAAATGTTTTTACCGTCGTTAAATAAGCTTTCACTTACTTACCTACTTACTTACAACGTGAGTTTTTTGGTCACTATATCTGCTGAAAGCCTCGCTCTCAGCCCACCCCAACCACACTTACTATGGATATATGATCAAGGAGCTGCGCCGGTCGTCATCTTACACCAGTTGAGTCATGGATTTTTGGCCACCCCCCCTAGCGAATTTGCCTCAGGCCTACAGCCCTGGGGCGATATTCATCAAAGTTGCGTTAATAAAGTGTATTGCGTACACAAAGTTTCTTATGAAGTACGTGTTCGCATACGCAAAGCATCGTAGTGCGATCATCAACGCAGTGTAGCACCTGCGTACACAAATGTTGGATTGAAAATTTCCAGGTGAAATCCACTACGCCATCGTAGCTGTGGCTTGTTGAGGGCGCGTGTCATAGCCAGAAAACCCAATCACATGTGCGACACATCACCATAGCAACCAAAACTGACGCTTCTCTTGTATGTAAACATTGCCTCTAGCTCTGTCTACAGGAGTGCTGGGGGATGTGATAGTTTGTCCTCATTTTCGTTTGTATGAATTGCCGATTCAACACCTTCGATGAAGGCAGCCGACTCGCTACACGGTGCGTGCAGTGCGTACGTAAACCACGTGTGTGTGCAATGCGTGTACACATACAGTGCGTTCTGTGCGTACACGTACACGGGCTAACTACGAACTCGCTTTTAATTGGAAACATCGCCAAGTGTGACAAAAGCAAGCCTGTCAAGGCGCCCGCCTGTCTGTGTCAGTACGTTAATAATTATATTTATTTTAGTAGTAATTTATACTGTTTCTCAATAAAATAATGCATGCTGCCGTTATGCTGGGAAACACCTTGCGAGAAATTCGAGTGGTTACGCACACCTCTTCAGCTCGTGTAAAGTGTACGCAAAGTTTAACCGTAAATTTCTCTTTCTGATTGAATCGCCACTAACGACGGCCTCGCTGTGTAACATTGCTCGAACATCTTTACAAAATTTACTAAATAGCTGCGTGATGAATCGGCAACTAAGCAACGTTCGATTACGTACACAAGAATTTACGAGAAATATTTTGCGTATGCGCAATCGGTTGATGAATCTACCCTGGGTTGTGAATGCGATGCAGGCTATATGTGGTATAGCCTAAAGCAGTGATGGGCAAACTTTTCAAAGCGAGGGCCACATCAGTGGGCCATAAAAAGTCAAAGAGCCGCACCTTTTAAAATCGGGCGGTGCGCTCTAAGATAATACGTGCGTTTCGCCTCAAGGGCGCCATCTCTGGACCATATTTAGCTGAAATGGCATTGCAGAGCGAACCAGAGACAATAGAACACTAATTTATTTTTTTATTTGCTGCAGGCTTCCGCGGGCCGCACTGAACCCTGTAGAGGGCCGCATGCGGCCCGCGGGTCGCAATTTGCCCACCCCTGGCCTAAAGTATGCAGGGCCGTAGCCTGTGGGGGCAAGGCAGCTGCCCCCCCCTAGATTTTGGAGCAAAATAAAAAAATTTAGCTCAGCTAATAATCGTAAATAACCCCAACGTGAGTTTTTTGGTCACTTATCCGTGAAAGCCTCGTCTCAGACCCACCCCAACCACACTACTATGGATATCGATCAAAAGCTGCGCCCGTCGCTCATGATTACACAGTTGAGTCATGGAATTTTGACCACCCCCCCCCCTAGGAATTTGCTCAGCCTACGGCCCTGAGGCGAGATTCATCAAAGTTGCGTAAAGTGTATTGCGTACACAAAGTTTCTATGAAGTACGTATGCAAAGCTTGTAGGTGCGATTCATCAACGCAGTGTAGCACCTGCGTACACAAATGTTGATGAATTCCAGTGTAAATCCACTACGCCATCGTAGCTGCTGGTTGTTGAGGGGCATGTCTAGCAGAAACCAATCACATGTGCGACACATACCATAGCAACCAAACTGACTTCTGTGTATGTAAACATTGCTCTAGCTCTGTCTACAGGAGTGCTGGGGGATGTGATAGTTGTCCTCATTTTCGTTTGTATGATTGCGTTCAACACTCGATGAAGGCAGCGACTCCTACACGTGCGTGCGTGCGTACGTACACGTGTGTGTGCGTGCATGTACACGTACACGTGCGTGCGTGCACGTACACGGCTAACTACGAACTCGCTTATAATGAAAACAATGCCAAGCTATGACAAAAGAAGCGTCAAAGGCGCCGCCTGTCTGTGTAGTAAGGTAATTATTTTATTTGAGTAGTAATTTTATACTGTTTTCTCAATAAAATAATGCATGCTGCGGTATGCTGGAAACACTTGTGCAAATTTCGAGTGATTTACGACACCTCTTCAGCTCGTGTAAAGTTACGCAAAGATTTACGTAAATTTTAGCTTGATGAATCGCACCTAAAACGGCCTCGCTTGTGTATGCGAAATCTTACGAAAATTAACTAAATAGCTGCGTTGATGAATCGCAACTAAGCAACGTCGATTGCGTACACAAGATTTACGAGAAATATTTTGCGTATGCGCGTTGATGAATCTACCCCCTGGTGTGAATGCAGATGCCAGGCCAACTCTGACCATGCACGCCTCCTCCTACCACTCCCGTGACTTACCTGCAGCATAACACTAAATGCACATGCCATGCCGACCTGCCCGACTCCCACCACGCTGATCTTAGCATGGGCATACTCCTTCCTCGCGGCCACACTTGTCATGATCATATCCTTCATAGAGGTCGCCATGGTGATTACTGGGTTGATTACACGGAGCTAGCTAGTCGGCACGATTAGCGATGGCACTGAAAGCGAAAATGTATGGATTATGTTATTAAGTATATTTCACTGATGTATCATGTAGTAATGTATTATTCTACCTACCTACGCATTCACAGCGTGAATCCCTGTAGATTCGCGTGGTTTTGGTTGCGCGAATATTTACGCGAATCGATTCGTGGATTTGCGTCGAAATAGAAGCCCTGGTTCTATAGTATTAGTAGTAAGTAGAGTCGACTATAGGCCTGCCAACATTGAGTTAGAGTTGAGAGTGAGATTATGCGAGGGAGCGGAGCGACCGAGCAGGGGGAAGGTGTGGGAGGGGGCACTCCCCTCGCACATCAGGGAGCTTTTGCATTTTTCAGCTTGAAATTATGCATTCCGGTGCATACTTAAGTGAGTTTTTAAACATACACATGTATGTAATGCAATACACTGTACATAGTTCTGCTTTTAGTCGGATTACAATGACCATCGAATGTAACTATATTGTATTATACCCAAGTTCTGTTTATCCAAGCAAGTGGCCAAACAAAATAATTATAAGGTGTTTTTAAAATAAAACTTAGGGGTGGTAAGTCACTCAGTGATTTAGAACTATTTATAGAAATTAGTCAGAACTATATATTGCTAAATTAGTACGGCATTGGTTGGAAAAGGTTATTTTTTGCAGGTTTACTGAAATGATAATGGTGACTCATGGTGATAAAGAATAAGCAATCCCATTTTTTGATTAGGAGCGAATAAAAACAATTATTTTATTCATTCCTGGAGTCCTGATGATATAATCAGGAGTGTATCAAAACATTGGTGTGTATTCCAGGAATGGTGTGGTGTACACCCAGTACCCAATTTGTGGTGTACACACCAGGAAAGGTGTGTACTCCAGTGGTATGTAAACACAGGAGTATGATACACTCCTGATATAATAGATATAGTGGAGTCGAGGACCAATCTGCAATGAAAAAATATTAAAATATGTGATGATAGCATTGTGTTGAAACATGTGGATTGGGGTTGACACCTGAAAGATTTCTCTCATTTCTTGAGAGTGCAATTATAAATGCTAGGGTAACTAAAAACATTACCTATAACTTTAGATGGCTGAAGGAAACCAGTTGAACAACATTAGCAAACGGATACACTGTACATAGGAATTAAACTACGCTTCCACATAGTTTATGTATGAAATCCACATGTATAGCCCACAAAATAATGAAAATGCAGTTTCTCCCTTAATAACGTTATCTATCATATGAGCCCTTGTTTTGGTTTGTGAAACGATTATAAGCTACAGGAATAGCAGCTACAACAGGTCAAATATTGGATACATTGCTATAAAACCGTGAATCTATTTTTAGTTGGAGTTAGAATGTTTCGAGGGCTTGTTCCCATTGCAAACTATGCTGTTGTAAACTTTACTTGGGCACAATAGATAACACGCGCAGAATTCTAATTTTAGGTATGTATAAAAATAGAAAGTGCCAGACACAGACCCACAAGCTGAGCGAGGGTACATAGGAGGAGAAGTGCAGAAAAGAAGGAGAGTGAACTTTAAAGCAAAAATAGCTGGCATTACACAACCTTGTGAAATGATTTAGAACATGGCTTCTAGACTAATTCACGTTGAAGAACCTAAATACTGGAATTACATTGTATTTCACACATGAATGGGTGAACACATTATACTCACACAACAGCGTAGCACGTACCGTACCGGCAAATAGCAACAGTGCTTTTTTAATCTAGGCAGTGATAATAACAATGGGTTACGGTTTTCCCAACAATACGATTTTCTTGCTTGCTACTCCTGAAAAGCCGCTGGAGTGAGAACACCACATGTTCACTGCCACTGGCCTCAAGTGATCACTAGATAATCGATAGAACTTCAATGACTGCATGATTGGTCGATTCAATGACTGCATTATTTTATTATTTATTCACAGCCATACAAGAGTAGCTATGTCCATGAAACTATACGGTTCAGATTGGTATGGTTACTATGGTATGCGCAAAGGAGTGAACAAAGTGTTGCCTGTGTGTTAGTTAGGTACAACAGCTCCAATATAAAAAGGAATGTAGAGGGATAATCTATATATATATATATCTAATGTTTAGTGTTACATCACACGGACATGCACAAACACACGCATTAGTACTACATTTTTACACTCTATAGTAATAGTAACAGCCCATACAAACTAGCAGCATGTGTCCCTAGAGAACAGGACCATGTTATTAGAACCATGCCACCACGAAACAAATGTTGATTGTTGGAAGAGTTCACATGTTGGTCATCACCTTGATTGGTGTAAACAGATATATTTGGACAGTAGATACAAAGCCAAAACAGAGAACTAGATACCAAGTCTATGGCAAAGCAGGAGAACCTTCACAGATATCTCTGATTACACACGTTAATAATTGATTTGATCAGTATGAGAATGATTCAGCATAATTGCCATAAAGCTATCAGCCCAAGTATAAGAGCTGTCCACATTTGCACATTTCCACATTGGGGACAGCTCTTACAATTACATCCTTGAACCAAGCTATCAATATCATTAGTATCTAGCTCGCTGACTAGACTCGATCGCCGTAGGCGTAGCTCCAAGTCCAAGAAACGATCAGAGACACAT